TAGAAACACCCAAGACCAAATGTGGGGATCCCTTCCATATGGAGTAGAGTGTGGAATGCAGCGTTTTTGGGGAAAAAAGTATTGTTGTAGGGTATACGAACCATGCGTTTGTTTTTCCCCGTCGGGGCGTGTGCCCTACTTTCCGTACCACAAATTCCATGAAAAGCAGTTGGAATACTTAAAACGGGCCTAGACAAGTGTATTTAATTTCCATTCGTCCTTTGCAACCCCCAGCCCGCGACTGCATCTGCAAAAATACTAGGCGAGCTGCTGGAGGTCTACTCTCCCTGGCCCTGCGGTGTCTGGAAGGGCCCATAGAAGCTATTCTCGCCCAAGGTCTGGAAGCAGCAAGTCGACTTCTCTATCGTCTTTCTCTTTCGATATGGGAGAGCGGCAGATTTTGCCTAGCATGCACAGAAACGGTTCCCGCACCAACCGTAGGCGTTCTATTCCACCGGCGGCCCGAATCGTTTCTCGTATCTTGTAGCCGTAGACTGGAATTGTTTCCCCAGTCGGGGGATCGAGTAGCAACAACAGCCGGTTCTTCCCTTCGTATCTCGCTACAGCAAACTTTTTGCACAAGTAGACTCCTTCTGGGACGTCTGCGGCTTTTCTGTGTTCGCTGCACGGAGGGGGTGCTACTTCCATATCCTTGGGTCCGCCATAGTTAGGCAATGGGGTATGCCAAATATTGCCCCGTCCCTGTGGTACCTCTGCTTTCCCCGATAGCTGCCGGAAGATACAAGACTCTTTCTCCTTGCATGGACAATGGTCCACAAATTTGCTGGCGAGGAGTGCATACCGTATGCTCCAGAAAGCGCACGCGTTGTCGTACAGGTTCTCTATATTCGCGAAAACAGCTGTCGAGCACGATCTCTTCTGGAACCTCGAGTTGGAGTCGCTCCTGGGGTGTGTAGTCTATCGCTTTCTTTTCCCAGAGAACACATTTCTTGCTGTCGACGCAGTGGTCGATGGCGCCGCGACTTACTGCATCGAGTTGTCGGGGTCCGATGAGAGCAGGCAGTTCCGATAGAGTGGCGAGGCAGTCAGTGCATCGGTTGTGTCTGTCCTTGGGGCCCGGATAGCAGTCGCCGGCGAGAATGATTCGAGTTTGCCGCCGAGGGTCGAAATTGGTTGGGTGGGTAGATGTAGACGAAATCGACTATTTTGCCGGCTTCTACTAGTGGGTGAAAGCACAGCAAGTAGAGTTCGAGAAACTGTTTGGGGATCTGGTAGCCAGAGAAGGTGTGCCCCGATTGCCCCAGGATTTGTTTCTCTCGGTCGGGAAAGCAACACGGGCGACACTTCTGCAGCAGGGCCTCAAGTCTTCGGCCATGTCGGGAGTTGTCGTCGTCTGGGGCTCGGGGTCTATACCACCTCGGATTCGCGTGTATCGAGCTTGCGATATGTGGTACTTCCTCTTCGCTTCCCGAAGGGACAAACGACCCGATCGGATCTCGGTATAGGCTTCGCGCGAGAGCTTGGTTCCTGGCATGTTTCTATATCCATGCACCCACATAGCTCTAACTGGGAGTGCACTGCATTGGGAGCAGCCGAAAGTGGTCTTGTCGAAGGGTTTGGGCAAACACTCATTTTTTACTAGGCTGGTAGCAGAATTAGCCCGTATGGAAGCTTCTAAGCAAAGGTGCACCTATACGTCTTTTTCTTATCATTCCCCCTACTACTATTTGGTATGTTTTGGTTTTTTTATCTTCCATTCCATCTCAACCTGAAGTCTTAAAGATTTCAGGTGTAGATTTAAAAAATATTCAGAGACTCATAATGCTTGTATGTGTATTTGATCACATAGATGTAAATTGCAACCAAGTCCCTAAAGATGCATTTTACACAGTAATTCCCAATCTGTAAGAATCCCTTTTCTTATTCTCACTCTTTCAATGTGATGGATTTTTCAACAGTACAAGGTAGTCAGACTTTATCACATACAATACAGATTTGAATACCGGTACAAATCTTCCTACCTCAAGGAAACATTCCAAGGAACATCAAAGGCCAGTTGTTCCAGCTTCTGTTGGCTTCTGAATGATTCTGCAGAGCCAGTTAACTAAATTGAGTAATTTATTACCCAAATCAAGATGCTACAAGACACTGTAATGCTTCCAGTATCATCATCAGTCAACAGTAAGTTGCTTCGTGAGACGTTCTTTAGCTTGTTAATCAAAAGATCAATAGTTCAATGCTTTCCTTTTGACGTTCTTTTTCTGCTAGAGGAATACAATTACAGGTTTCAGGTATTCTAGACAACACATAAGAATAACTCCAAATGGCAGCGTATTCCTTGGCCATGAATAAATGATTCCAGCAGTTCCCTTAATAGATTTGTACGTCCAGAAAACTCATTTATCTAAAAGATATATATTAAGAAGAAAACATTTTGTGTTTCGTATTACATGTCAATTTGTGGCATATGGCTGACATGCACATAATATTTCTCTATTTTTTTTTTTTGCCTCAAGCATAACTCTAGCTGAAGATTTAATACCACAGCAACAAAATACTTAATTGTATATGTTGGTTGGGATTTGAGGAGATTTTCTTTTGAAAGCAATCTCTCAACATGGCACATTGAACTTATTCATATGAGCCCCTTAAGAATTCCTTCATTAGAACAATTAATACTAACCCCTCATAAAACGTGAAACATTATCTGAGTTCAGATATTGTCTTCACATAATTAATCAAAATGTTTTACATCACTTATAAGTCTCTACGATATTGTCTTCTGCTGTTCTTCATAATTTCTTTCAAAAATTATCAAAGATCTAAATGTACTTTTTTTTACTACTTGTCAAATCAGGCTAAGGCACAAAATGACATCAAATTTACTAACACTGCATGAAATATGCATTCAGGTCCTTACCAAGAAATCCCACTGAATTGTAATCAACAACAACAATCATATTGAGAATGTGCCCTTACTTTAAGACATAGAGTCCCGTATCCTGAAGTGTTAATCTGTCCCAACATAGTGACAGATTGTCAATGTCCATATCAAAGATCAACATGGACAAGAGCAAACTAGCCAATTACATCAACAAGTCTATTTGGGGACATGTACCTACATGCATGAGAAGAATCATTATCACATATCTGCACATGCCATTGACAATATCCTACACCTTCACACCTATGTGATACTGGTCTAAGTGGCCAATATGATATACAATCAATGCACAGCAATGTTGGCACATGTGTATATGATCAATGTCAGTACAGAGTCTCATCCCAATGTAAATAAGGCTAGGAAGGGGCCAACCATTTAACAAAATGAGGGTGTGGACAGGGTTTTTGTTTCTAAAAAAAAAAAAAAAAAAAATAATTCAAACAGGCTTGAGGTCTTTTTATCCACAAGATATTCTTTTTCAGTATATCAAGCTTGTGTTTATAGTTTTACGTAAAAAAATTAATTTTAAGAAAGGTTATGTTGTAAAAACATCCCAGAACCTCCCCTAGAACATCAAACATCAGGCTCACATATATGTTAGTGTATCTGCTACAGTGACCCCTTAATCTACACAGATTGGAGGTATTTAGTTGACCTGTTTGTCATGCAAGCTGATAATGTGGTGAGTGAAATATTCATGTCTCATTGTTAAACGGAGAAGTTATTCAGGCATGTTCCATGTTGAAATCGATCTCATGAGATATGCTTTCAGATTAATTCAAGCATGATTTATGTGCAATATGAACCATTGTGTTCACTGAAATCTAAATGCCTGTAGCATAATGGTGGTGATGGTTCAGTGCTGAGCACTGTGATAGGATCATCGGTGCCTGTCTGTAACTGACCCGATAGATAATCCATAGGAGTTTCATATATAATCAGAAACAAACAAGAGCAACATATGTCATATGAAGACCATTTGACTGTGTCAAGCTTCATTGCGTCAAAAACTTTCTGATGGCGCAAACTGAACATGAAAATAATCTTTCTGTTGTTAATTGTAAATTGTTAACAAATAAATTCAAAGATGAAATCAAAGTGAAATTTTCAATTTACAAAATGCTACTTTTACCAATATTGCAGATGGTTCTTTTTGGGGGATACCAGGAATGGACTTCACACATTGCATAAATGTGGAGAATTATACCAGGTCTTTGGTGTGTCAAGCTGATTCCTTAACCACCTAGTAACCCCAGGACAACCATCAACTGAGGTTTATGTGACACAACAAGATGAATGTTTCCTATGAACAACAACACATTTGGGTATCCAGTGGCAGGACATGTCTCAGCTCACCTCTGCTTTGTGGGAATATAGATCATGAAGGTTGTCTCAAATAGCTCCAGAGGCTGCTAAACTGACAACACCAGCTTAGAACTGATAGAACCACTGTGGGTGACCACAGGTGACACAATCCCATTGGTTGATTTACTGTTATTTCACAACCATCAACAGAGAGAGATGCTTGCGCTATCAACCACCGGTTTGCCTGTTTCAGGATCTCATTCCATAAATATCCCATATTGCTTAACATCCTTCAAAATTACAGTGGTCATTGAAGACTGCTTGATGGAATGAAGGTACCCCAATATATCTTTACCACCTACCACTAGGGCACTGACACAGACCTGTGACTTTCAGCTGAAGTTTGAACACTGACATAACTTAACCTAGAGGTACAGCAGTCACAGGTACAAGATGGGCTTGTGAAATATGATGCAAGAGGATATGCCAAGATATTACTGTACATATGCAGGAGTTCTACAAGCCTCATCACATACCTCTCCCCAGTTTTAAGTTTAAATCAGAATATATACAAAGAGGCAGGGACCACAAGAACCATTTCAATTCTTCAGTTTACTGCCAACAGTTTGGTCAAACACATTATGCAGTCCTGACAAAATGTGCTCTCAAAGAACGATCTGTCTGTTAGTAGGCACATTTTTCTTAAGAAACAGGAAAAACAGAAAACAAGCATCATCCATCAGGATCACCGTTTCTTTTGCCGACTAAAATTAAGAAAATACACACGTACTTGAAAGGTCAGAGATCCCTAGTTGTTATGAATACACTGAGGTGCTTGGAGACTACCAGAGGGGCTGCTGTCTGTCCAGGAAAGGTCAGCTGGGCAGCGGTCAAACCTGAAACATACAAGTAAACTTAGAAGTTGTTGCTGAATCCTAAGAACTGTACGCCACCCAGGCACTCAGGAGTACTTGATCTGGACAACAACATGGTAAAGCATCCACACTGACAAATCTCAGGTCTCGGAACACACAGACAGAAAGAAATGGAAGAAGTGAGAAGAACAATTCCTTGTGTTCTGTGAAAAATATCACATTTTGGTATATCTCGAATGTATGGGAAGACTGTTTTGTGATCTAGGAATTAAATGCTCTTGCAATGATTACAAAATTTTAATTAGGGCAAGCAAATCTTTTGATATAATATACCTGCTAAAAGTTTGTCCATGTCCATAAGCAGACTACAGTATCGTTATTGGCCAATATACATGATATAGAAATGGGCGGGGCATGTTGCACAATAACGCGCAGAAAAATGTAACTGGTTATGTTGTTGTCTACCAACTGTTGATTAATGTTTTATTTATATTTACATACGGTATAATACCTGTATGTTCTCTATATCACTTTTTGTGTTTTTTGAGAATAAAATTCTTTTCTGTTCTGATTATTCAAGGATATAAACCTTACTTGCCATTTTATTTAAAGAATTGGCTTAAATATATGGAATGATAATTATAAAAAAACACAACAAATACACCCATTTTACTTTCATACCAATTTATGCAAAACTATATTGTGAAGTCTATTTTAAATTAGGTAACTGTAGAGATATATTAAATGTAATGGGAACACACAATAATCTTGATTAGGAAAATGGCAGCTGAGACGTTACCATGGTGGAAGGAAAGATATTAATTATCAGTATTAACCTCTTAATGCTCTTGGAGTATTCCACATTCTTCATGTATCATTGATATATGTGTAAGTCAGGAGATCACATATTCACAAAATGCATGTGGTGATAATCTACCTGTGTATAAAGGAAGAAGGTGATGCGTGATCTCCTACAACAGCCTTTCATCTATAAGCCCCTTGATGTTCAATTGTTACCATTAGGGTCTAACAAGGACAACTGACCTTCCGAATTTCAAAAGTCTTTTGAATGTCACATTTGAAATCTAGATTTCATTTTACTCACATAAACATTTGTTTTTAGTATAAACAAGGTGCTAACAAATATTTGGGGTTGTCATAGTTACCACAGTAATTGCTGATGTAAAATTCAAAACTGGACAGGCAATTTCAAGTGTGACAAAAACTCAATTCAATCAACACTATACAGAATTGTCAGAATGAAAACCTGCACTTGGAAATGCATTCATCGTGGAGTGGTGGTTAAAAGCAATATGCTCCTGACCTGTCCAGTGTGTGTCCAGTGAACGTCCAGTATGTTGACACAACCACTACTTTTCAAAGCACGAGCCTCACCCACCCCTCAACACAAAACACCCCAGTTGAAGCTCATTATCAAGTGAAATGACCAATATATGGATGATCGTCCATGTCAACACTGGCATTTCAATAAGTAATTGCCTGGACCCTGGTCTAAATAATGTCCACTAATGGTCAACATCCTTTCAAAAAGATTACAAATGGACAAAATATTTCCACCCACATTTATGATCATATATTGAAGCATATACAGCAGAAGTGAAGCTTAAACGATTTCCACTGCAAGAGAAAATCACTGAACTAAAAGCTTGCAAATATGAACTTCATGGCACCAAACAACTACAATGTTAGTAAAATGACTAAATTCAAAATGATGTTTGCATTAAAAAACCTATGCATGAAAATCAGATGGTTGGTTGCAAACGAAACAACACTTACACATCACAGTTGATCAATTTCCATTAAAGGCAATCAAAGCAGTAGCCATGTTGACTTGTATCCTTGAAACTGAAGATGGTGTTTATTTCATCCCCACACCAACAGTTTGATTGGCACTTGCTGATTTCAACTTGTCAATTCTCTCTGTTCAATTCCAGCTCTTGTTTGGTCTCCTAGAGAAGCAGTTTACAGGAAATCGCTATCTTATTATGAGAGCAGTTGGTAGGAAATTACTTTCTGTCTATGAGTCTCAGTTTGTGTTGATTTTGTAAATATTGTTGCAAGCTAATGGGATGGTGTGTGCAGACTGGATGGGATTAGCCATGTCCACATGTCCACTATGGCCTTGTCTCTGACATGAGTGGTGACAGTGAACATGAAAAATGACAAGTTAAATACTACAGATAAAATGAATACCACCCACTGGTCCATCAACTTCCATCATCCCATACCAACTGCAGATATCACACACATGTTGATTCATGCAAAGTACACTACATCAGTTATAAAAACATTGAAGTCGCATTCACATAAGTATAATCTTCGTAATTTTTTCAAGTTAAACCATAAATAGTTAATTAAATAGACATTTAAAGGAGATAGAAAATTAATCCAACAATAGAAAAACATCTCTATTTCTTTTATCTTGTACTTGAATGAAACAGAATGACGCACTTGTAAATGAAAATCTATAATAGATGAAAAGAACCCATTTTAGACACTTCATTTTACAACAGAATTACACTTATCTAAATGTCAAAACCTAATCCAATGCTTTAAAACTCATACCTAATGATGATATGGTTAATAATAACATGAAAAAAACCTTCCACACAAGATATCTTGAAATAATGTTTTACAATTTCACTTAATGGGGTTCTTGAGAGGCACATAAAAATTGGTATTAAGTATGAAACAAAATATTATGGATGCCAACTTGGTGTACACAATAAAGAACAAAAAGCTGACATCCATAATATTTTGTCTCATAAGTATTACTTAATATTTTTTTCATTTTACTTATAAAAATGTCTTGAGGTGGAATGATTTCAAGCCTCAAACATTGCCATTAAAGACTCCCAATATAACATATATTGAATGAATATAAATTTATTGAAATATTCAACATAAAAATGTAACATTGGTTCATAATCTGAATTGAATATAACTGCATCATACTGTCCTGAATTCAAAACATATCTTTAAATAAATAAACAGTCAGACATTTACAAAGTTCTCTATACACGAAACAACCCTTAAACAAACTGCATCAACCAAATCGGTTAGAGACACTACCTTCATGTAGCTGTCAACGAACTTCAAGTATTTACACAATTCCAATATAGGTTAACTGCCCAAACCACAAGGGCTATTTATACCTCCCTCCTACTCTGACCTCTGACTGAACCCTGGATTATGCCATATGTTCAAGTGAAGTTGCATAACACCTTGCTGTGTGTCAGATAGAACAGATACTCCACTAAAACACCCTGAAACATTTATGCCCCTAGAGACTGCCTTATGCAACATGATCACTGCAGGATGTGCTGCCATTCTTACACAGGATCAAAGAAAGTACTGTTAGTTTGGGATGGTTAAGATAAGAGTGTTTAGGAAACTGTTATGTTGTGACTGTTATACTGTCAGAGTTTACAGTCAAAGTAAGAGGTCTCACCACCTCATTGTATTAACCTACCTCATTCTACTGAAATCTTTCACATGCAGAAATTTGAAAATTCACTGTTTTCTTTTAACACCATTAAGCAACAAGTGTTTACAAAACAGTTTGAATGAGTGAGTGAGTTACTTTATTGCTCTACAATATGTTTACATATTTTTGCAGCTTTTGCTGCTAAAATGATCCTTCCAGTCATTATATTTGAGACAAATGTAATTTGTCTACTTTTTTTCAATTTTCTGAACTTTTTAGAAGACATTCTTCTACATTTTTTTTTGGATGACAAACAGTCAGTCAGTGAAAATGAACCAATCTGAAAATTCTACTGTTCAGTTCAGGCCACAACCATTTTTGACACCAACTGTAAATATAGACCCTAAACTTAGATACAAACAGAAACAGATGAACCCACCTAACGTAAGATATATTCATTTGAAAATGATTTTAATTTTAAAATTTTAACAGAGATATTTAATGTTCCATAAATTCATCAGAAATTATTCTATTTTGAAATTTTTAATAAAGATATTCAATTAACAATAAATTATGTCATAGACATAGTTTTTTTTACAAAACTGATTTAAGTTAACAAGACTAAGGGTTTGAATTAGTATTAAAACACACAGATCACATATAAAACATCAATCACAGAACAGTAAACAACAAACAGCCCCACACCAGATGAAGATGTCATCTAAAGCTAAATAAATATGTTGTTGTTTGTATTTTTCAAATGATTTAAAACCACTAAAATCATGATGCTAACTGATACACTTTCGCTACTGAGAGGTCGTAGGAGTATATTTACAGGTCATTAACTAAAGCTATTGGATTGCACATTCATGCATTATCACCATATAGCTGGAATATTGCTGAGTGCAGTGTAAAACTAAACTCACTCATTCACGCATTGCAAAAAGTCCAGTAAATAAAATTCTGGTGTATTCTAATTCCAAACAATTATTACACATTGGTTTGAAAACGTTTTCAAAAAAAGAGAGCATGGTAATCTTTTGCTTACCAAATGCTAAGAGTATTCCTTCTTGACTTTCAAGCCCAACCATCAACATCACATACTTACTAATTTCTGAGTATTCATTCACAAGATGCCCAGTGGAGGTATCTATCCTCTGTTATTGGAACACTGACGTTATAAGTTCTGTAAACACAAGGCAGTGTAAATGTCACCCTCTTATGCTGGACTGTCCACTGGGGAAACATTTCCCACAAACTTAAGTGGTCACAAGACAAATAGCCCTGCACTGGTCAGACTTTCCTAAGGATTCCATTTATGTATTAGTGTAAATCAATGCAATTTATCAATGTCTGAAGATTTTATTAATTTGTATCTCCTTTTACCCAGAGACCGATCTATTGTGAGAAACTAATTTCGCAGAACAGGCAAGTAAATAAATTCTGGCAACTGATAGGTCAAGGTCATCAAATAAGTTCGGGCTTAGTATTGAGCTGATAATTCCTTTCATCATTTAGCACAACCATCTTTTCAGTACTATGTATCCATCATCTCTCGTATGTTTCTTTATAA